GGTCTTTCAGTTTCTATCCGTGTCTGTAAACTTGGTCGCAGCCCCGCATTTGCTGTTGTTGCTGCCGCTGCTGCTGCTGCTGCTGCTGTCACGAGGCCAGGATGTTTTCTGAGAAACTCAAGTCCCCGAGCCCAAACCACAGGCTCGATTCCTGAAGGTGCTGGCATGTTCTGTACTACATTCGAATTCTGTTGATGCGTTTGCTGTAATTGCAATTGTGGTTCAAACAGCTGTAACGCTGGCTCAGAGTGTAGTTGTGAACCGCTAACGTCACGACCGCCTTCGCCACCTCGTTGTGCACCATCCACCGATCTCAACAGATCGAAATCTGTCTCCGCAGGAGCGGGGTTCCTTTCCGCCCCTCCGCCTACGTAATTCGCCCTTCTTGTTCGCTCTGCCGCCATTTCCCCGTCATCGTTATCTATTCGATTCCCCGTTTCTCTACTACCTACCCCGAGCGCAAAATGTCCTCCCGCCGCGCTTATCCCAAGTTCACCGCCGCCATTTCCGCCTTCTCGTGGCAGTTGCGCACTCCTACTTTGCGCCAGCGGCGCTGCGGCGGGTCCTGCGGGGCCCCAGAGCCGGCCCAATAGCGCGATATTTTCTTGAACCCCTGCATTCCTGCCTGGCGCGCCCAACAGCCGCGCGGCAAGCTCTGCTGCGGACCCAGCGCTTGCGTCGGCGAACGAAGCGCCTGAAGCGCAAGACGCTGACGTTGGGGGACCGAGCGGAGCGGAAAGAAACTCAGGAGCGGAGGCTCTGGCAAGGGGAAGTGGGGGAGCGGAGAATGGTGCGGTACTCGCGGGGGGAATTCCAGGAAGGGCGGAAGGAGCGGGCGGCGCGCCGAGGCTTCGGAGAAACTGTGCAACGGAATCCACCACCACCGCTGCTGCATCGTACGTCAACGGCGGTGCCGGCGGCGCTGGCGGAATGTTGGAGCCGCCCGGCGAATCGGGCGATCCCGAAAAGGGAGCTCGAGCTCCTCTTGGAGCGGCAAAGAAATCCGGCGGTCGCGTCGGTGGGGGGACTGCGCTATCAGGAGCATGATTTGTCGCCGCGCCACGACTGAGAAACACTTCGTTTGGCTGCCGTGCCGAGAATCGGCCTGCTGACTCCGCCGCAAGAAGAGACGGGGAAAACGGTCGCGAGCGGAACAGAATCTCTTGTAGCTGGTACTCCTGTAGATGCTCTGAGTGCTGCTGCTGCTGCTGCTGCTGCTGCTGCTGCTGCAGCTGCCGAACCTGTTGAAGAGCCTCGAGGGGAGCTTTGGCAGGGCGGTTAGCATCAGTGGTAGTAGTAGGATCCAGCGACATTCCCAAGCCGCCCATGACGGAGCCTCCAGCTGCGGGCGGACTGCGTGTTCGGCTGCTCGACGTGGGAAACCTTTCCAGCTGCGCCGCCGCCGTCTCTGCCGTTCGCCTCGTGTTTGACGCGCTTCGGGAAAGCACCGCTTCGTCGGCGTCTCGCGATGCAACGAATCGCGAAACGGCGTTTCGCGAAGCGGGGTTTCCCATTTTGGAAGCGCCGACGGGCGGCGTCAACGTGAGGGCCAAGTCCGTGGCCAGTAGATCCCCCGCCGCGTCGGCATTCTCGAGTCGGCTGTTCGCCCCGTCCATTTGCGAATCCATCCTTTGGCGACGACTGCGAGTTGCGGCGCCCTTCAACGCGCTACTGCCGTAGCGGCGGCTTAGAAATACGACTGCAAATCGAGAACCTCGGACGTCCGAGGTTTGGAAAAGACAAAAGGGAATTCGATTATGTGTGGTGGCTGGTAATGTTATAGCTACTACTAATGCCTGCTGTGCCGCCAGGGACTGCTAGCATATACTCAACCAGCATCTGTGTGGATCATCACTTCATACTATGCGCATGTGCCCAACTTACAACCTCATCCCGCTTGTAATAACGCGCCGCGTCATCTGCCATCGTCGGGTATGGCGGGATCGCGAGTAAAGGATCTCATCTGGGTGGTTGGAATGAGTCGACTGAAAAGCCACGTTGCGAGTGCTAAAATGTTCCAGACGACGCACGCGGGGCCTCTCGAGATAAAGCAAGTACTAAGCCCTGCTTCTGAGCTCCTGATTACAGCTATACACGGGACGCGGCGCGATGACACAGCTGAGCACATGTGCACCAACTTCTGAACACAGTCAGTCTAACCTCTCTCGGTTGTCGTGCTGAGCACAGTAAGCAAGACGAGCAGCTGCTGTCGCGGCAAGCTGATGTGAGACAATTGATTGGGGATCAATGCGGGCGGAAGGTTCTTGGAGACCTCCTTCTCCGTGAGCAGAGATAAATAATCTACGATTGCTGTAACAGTAGGTTTGCCGTGCATTGCGTAATGCAGATTCATCATCTGGTTGTCGTCTGCCAGACGGTTCTAAGCTCCAATCACTGCGAGTGAGAAGCCAATCAGGGGGCTGACGTGTGCGTACGTTTGTTCTATCGTACGTGTACCTGTAACGACTCATCGTGGGCATTATCTTCGCGCAAATGCGGCTCATGCCCGCGCCGCACGATTTACCGATGGCTACTGCAAGGCCATTCGCATCAGGGATCGGATCGAACTTTGATCATGCATGGGCCTGCAGGGATGGCGAAACGGTTTTGTGTGTCGGTGGAATGGAGCCAAAGGTAAAGTAGCCGTACACTACTAGACTCTGTGGGGTCGGACTGGACCTGATCTGGCGCCTAATGAAAGCCGTTACAGCATGTCCCATTCGCACGTGACCTGAGATGCATTGCCCGTGAAACAAAGCTGAACTGTGCAGGCCACGTGAAATTTCCTTCATTGGGATGGTGGGGTGGGTGAGGATGAGCATCAGCGAAAGCAATGAATGTGACGCGAGTATGGGATGTGATGGATTCTGGGTCTGGGACCAAGCGAACGAAGCAGCTTTACAAACAATCCACACTCTCGGAAGTGCGTGGACGCGCGGGAAAAGGCCCGCGACAAAACTGGCATGATAAGAAGGGCTGGCTTCCGTGCGTGCCTGTGGCGAGAACAACGAGCAGCAGCTAGAGCCTAGAACAAGCAAGCGCAGCACTGCTTGAGCTGGAGGAAGCATTGAAGAAAAGAAACCGCCCCCATTTTGCCGCTTCTGGTCTGGACAGCTGTAGAGTACACCCACTTATTCGTTTGATGCACCCGCGATTGTGCCACCGGCTCGGTACGTTCACATAGAAGGTTGGGAGCGATGCGATCGAATCGATTCACACGCGTGATCAGTTCAGCATTGAATTGCTAAACGTCGAAGAAAATTGGTGGCAGAACACTACAGTTCTCTTCGGGGCTACCTTGGCCAGGCTTGTCCTGGCCCGGGGTTACGACGGAGTCGTACAAGCCAAAAAAAAAAACACTACAGTTACACGCATTCGCGCTAAAGACGAGGCCAAATTTATTAGTCATGATTCGGTCAGGCCGGCCTACAGTTGCAAAAACGTATTTATAGCCACATTTTGGGAGCAAGGGACGGCAATACGCAGGGAAATGTGACTCGCAGACGTTAAAAGCACCGGGCAAAAAGGACAAGCACCTCCGACCGAAACGCGCTTGGTGAGATAAACGAATAACTGGGTGTACCTCGGCCCAAATTTGCCGCTTCTGGTCTGGCTCTGTGCAGGAAGATGTACAGAAAGAAGGTGTACAGTAACTACAGAAAGACGTGTCGCAAACAGGCCTGTCGAAGTTCCTGGGGCCCATACTTGGAGTCCCCAGCTCCTCCCTATCTGACCCTGTTTTGGCCGTAGCTGAGTGTTTTGGCGCCCTAAAAGGCGGGGTGCAACTTCTTAGGAACAGTAGGGGGACAAAAATGGCATGTGAGTAACTTGAATTCTATTGGACGAAAAAACTGGAAAACCAGAAGAGGACAAACTTCTCGGCTCTGAACTGCCTGGGTCAACCTCTTCCAAGCTATAATACTTTGAAGTTGAAGTTGATAGTTGGGCCACGGCTGTAACGGTCACGGGCGCAGGCCAAAGTGAAAACTTGATATCCGGGCTTGCACTTACACTATCTTAGCTAAGGGAAAGTTCGGCTGCTCCAAAGCTGACTTTGAGATATCACAAACACGGGATTGGCTAGAAAACACTAAGGGAAAAATCCCCTTGGCGCGCTCTCGTGCAACCTAAGGAGAAAGGGGGGAGGGGTGGGGGGGTCAGGCATAATTTCTTGGGTAGGGGGGGTCCTAGAACCGGAAATCAAAACTTTTTGGGTGGGGAAGGCCTGGTTGAGCACTTAACGCATCTGGGGAAGGGTCGAACGAAGCACTTAGTGGCAAGGGAGCAGGGCGATCCTAACACTTTATGCAATCGAGCTGGAGCGAAAGTAGCCCGGAATTTCAGGAAATTAAGGGCATATGCCCGTCAATCGACAGGCCTGGTCGCAAATGAACTGGACAAAGCGTTTTCTACGAGTCGTCCACAGTAGGGTGCCTGAAGAACATTCATTTTGTAAACCAAGCACCGTTTTAAACCGTGAGTAAACCAAGCAAACCGTAGGAGCCAATCAGAGACTGTCGTTTGGGAGAGAATATGCCGTGGGTCTTTGGCGTGAACATTTCCTTCGCCCGAGTGCCCCTTGCCAATTGGGAATTTGGGACCACGACAGTGAAAGAAACAGTCGGAAATGCAACCTGTAAAAGCTGGAAGTCCACGGCATGTTTGACGCCAGCTTGCGTCATAAGAAGCTTCTTGGAGCCTTGCCCTCATAAATGTCGAGTTCCCTGGAGAATCAGCAAACGTTTTTGCGTGCCGCTGCAACAATCACACGATACATTTTCGAGCTGCCCATTTCTTGACTCAAGCTTCATAGACTTGAACGCCATATAAATTTGGGATTTATATCTAACAGGTGCAACTAACCACGATTGATATATGCCATTATTTATGCACTCCCTCCACAATAATTGCTAGAAGCTAGTTAATTGCACAAAGGAATTGAAAAAAAGGCAAGATAACGAACAGAAATTAAACAGGAGAGCAGAAGAAAGATACACTTGTCATTTCTCTTGGAGCCATTTGTTAAGCCTTTCTTGACATTCACCATGCACCGCTTTGAACTCCTCCGGAAACCCTTCCTCCACTTCTGCGGCCTTCCCCTTGGAGGCTGTCGGTAGGACCAAGACTACACTTGTGGGCCGCTTTGTGATGGCAGCATTACCCAAGTCCTGACACACAGCACACACAGGAACAGGTACCAGTGAGTCACAACCCATTGGGGAGATGGTGAGAGGGATAAGCAATTTCAAGGAAGTGTAGGAGGGGAATAGGATGTGACAACGCCCCATGGCTGTAACCCCATTATCGTTTAGAGCTAACAAGCTCATAGGAATGGAGAACACGAATACAGGTAACAAGGTTACAAATTACGGGAATTGAGGCAACAGGGTTACACATACCGCACGGCTGGGCACGTAGGTGTAGGGAATGTTGGCCTCCTCGCACACCACAGGGAGATGCGAGATGACGTCAATGGGCGACACGTCTCCTCCCAACACACACACGCTGCACCAAAAAGCAGCAGGAGTTGAAGCAAATTTAAGAGAATATAATAATAAAATTAAACATGCCTCATTAAGAAACTACAAGACCAAACAGTGATTACGGAATGTGAAAGGCACAATCAACAGAAGAGCAATTAGGTGAGGAGGGGAGGGGAAGGGGAGAGAGGAGAAAGGTGGGGAGGGGGGGCGGAGGTGAGTGCGATGGGGGTGCTTGCAACACGAGCGCCCATTTCCCACAATTGCATGAAGTCGGCACGACCCCCACCCTCTAATCCCTTCCCCCACTCTTTCCCCCCATTTTCCCAACCCCCCTCTTTCCCCATTCCCGTTACCTCATCAACTACCCCTCCCTCCCCTTCCTCCCCCCCCTCACCCCTCCCCCTGGAACTCACCCCCTCTCGCCCTTGCGCACACCCCCCCGCCCCCTTCCCCCCCCCCCCTCTCCTCTCCCCTCCCCCCGGAACTCACCCCTTCTCGCCCTTGCGCACGGCTTTGGCGACCTCCTTCACTCCTCGCCGCAGGTATCCCTTGTGCTTCGCCGCTGCTCGCACCAACGGACCGCGCGACCACGCAAGAGAAGGGGGAAGGCGGGGAAGGGTGGGGGTGGGGAGCAGAGAGGGGTTGGGAGGGGGTGGGCGGCGGGGAAGAGTGAGTCATTTTGGGAACGCAGGGGTGCGCCACACGAACAGGGCGTCCCTCAGGGTCCCGCCACAGCGGGCGATGTGTCCCGACTCCGGTAGCGATAACATTAGCGAGTATCGAGACATTGAGTACCGGGGACGCGTGCCTGCATACATGGCACCCATCGACAGGGTTTCTGGCGCGCATCGCGCGCACGGCGGGGCGCACGGCGCACACAATGCACGGCGCGCACCTTTCTTGACGAGCTGCAGCACTTTCTGGTTGAAAGTCGGGTCCGCCAGCGGCTTCGCGATGGCGCACACGTTCCGCCACTTGAGCGCCGCAGCCGCCGCCGCAGCCGCCTCGTCCTTCTCTCCCTTCCCCCCCTCCTTCTCCTTCTTCTTCGATTTCTTCGGCGTCGCGCCGTCGCTCGCGGTTGCGTCGGACTTTTTCTTCTTCGCCGATCGCTCGCCACCGCTCGCCGTCGCTGCTTCCGTCGCCGTCGCGTCGCTCTTTTTCCGCTTCGGCGTCTTCTCGACCTCCTCGCCCGCCGCGTCGCTCTTGCTCTTCTTCGGCGTCTTCTCGTCCTTCTTCGCCATTCTGAATCCGCTAAAAGTCTCTCTTTCTAAAGTCTCTTCTGGTAAACGTCACTCCTGTTAGAAGGAATATTATCCTTATATTCTCCACGTCCAATAAAATAACCCGGGAGGTCGCTAAACGAGGTACGTGCGGCGTGCGAGCGGTAGAGGTAGCGCTGCTACGGATGTCTAAGAAAAAGCTGCTGATGCGGAGAAGTGACTGGGAGAGCTTCTGCTGCAGGATTAGGGTTTTTACAGAAGGGGCGAGAATTAGCTGCCTTCTTTGCTGCAAAGGAGGGGCTTTTTTTGTGACCAGCGAGAGAAACACATCTCCGCTACAATCTAGCCCGGTCGTAGTGAAAATTGTACCTACATTGAAACCGGAATTAAAGGTGAGACTACACGAAAAAGTCTAAGATAGTGGTTTGAATAAGTGCATTAATTGAGCCAAATGTGACAGCCGATTTCAGCATAGCAAAACTGGAAACAGCCTCGTGTCCATGAAGCATGCAAGCTATGGTCTAGAGATGTCTCCTGCAAGCAGCCAATCCAATCCCATCCAATTTAATCCCGTCAAACTCTGCCAAACCCTCCTATTTTCTCCTTGCCAGTGGTCGTTTAGCCCTCACAATTCTCCTCCCAGCAATATTCGAACCTGCAGGTGTCTTCTCCCCTGCATCCCCCCCTGCACCCAGTGAAAACCCTCCAGGCGTCCCCACGAACCCCCCACCATTCCCAACCGCACCAAACCCACCAAAAGGCGAAGCAGGGGCCGTTGCACCACCGTTGCTGCCATTACCATTCTCACCAGAGCCATCAGCATCAGCCGTATTACCAGCTGCAGCAGGGGGAGGAGTGTAGCCTCCAAATAGAGGAGCACCAGGAGCTGTTGCTGCAGCTGCTGTTGCTGGTGCTGCAGCAGAGGCACCAAAATTAAAAGTCGGAACACCGTTACCTGCTGACCCTCCAAATGTAAAGACGCCCTTGCTGGCGCCATCAGCACTAGGAGCAGGTGAGCCAGCAGCGGCAGCAGCAGCAGGCGAGGCGGCAGCAAATGAGAACACGGGGGTTGCAGTTGGGGAAGCAGAGGAACCTGCCGGCTTGCCAAAGGAGAATTGCGGGGTGGACGGGCCAGCAGCACCAAACGAGAAGAGCGGAGCAGCGGCAGGGGACGAACCGGCAGTAGCAGGGGGCGAGGCAGCAGCAGCAGCAGATGAGCCGGCCGCAGGGGATGACGCAGCAGCAGGGGATGAGGCAGCAGCAGCGTAAGGGCTTTTAGAGGCCAAGGAGAAAACCGGAGCAGAGGAGGCTGTTGGGGGAACGGAAGCGGTGGAGAGGTTTGAAGGGGAGAATTGAGTGGTTGAGGCCGGTGTGGAAGAGGGTGTGGGTGCAGGAGAGGAGGGAGAAGGGGAGGAGGGGGAGGGGGAGGGGGAGGAGGCGGAGGAGGGGGCAGCACCAAAGGAGAATATAGGAGAGGAAGATGCTGCTGCTGCTGCTGCTTTTGAGGCCCCCGATGCTGTCGCTAATGTTGTGCCAAAGAACAATGAAGGGGGCGAGGTGGCTGGGGATGAGCTAGAGGCCGGTGCAGATGAGGATGCAGCAGCAGCGGAGGGAGAGGACGAGCCAAACGAGAACACGGGAGCAGTGGCAGTGCCTCCTGCTGCTTTCCCTGCTGCTCCTCCTGCTCCTGTTGCTGCAGCCCCTGCTGCTGCTCCTGGTGATGAGCCGAACTTAATCGGAGAAGACGAGAACGGGGATGGTGCTGATACTGCAGCTGGAGCAGAGGAGAGGGACGACGGAGCAAAAGCGGAGGAGGAAGCGGATGCAGATCCCGGCTTGTCCAGCGTCTCAGCTGGTGTGGTGGATGGCCGCTTCACAAACGGGTTAGGGAACGCACCACCATCACCATCAGCAGCAGCAAAAGGGCTACCAGCAGCTTTCCATTCAGAGGCACCACCACCAGCACCACCTCGCTTCTTTGGCCTGTCAGACTGCAGTCGTTCACTTCCCTCATCGTCTTCCCCATCCCCTCCGCCTGCTCCTGCCTCTGCAGCAACCCCTTTCCCCTCCGCACCTCCCGCACTGCTCCTCCCTCCAAAAGCAAACGGTGACGCTGCAAACAAAGAAGCTGCAGTGCCACCACCACCACCACCACCAGCGGCAGCAGCAGCAGCACTTGCATTAGCAGGACTGGCCGATCCGAAAACTGGAGCAGAAGGAGTGGCGCCAAAGGCGAATCCACTCTTAGGTGGTTCAGTGGCAGGAGGGGCAGAAGCACCAAACGCGAAGCCACTCTTGGCTGGCGCGGAGGCAGGCGTGGCAGAAGCACCAAAGGCAAACACCGGAGCAGCACTTGCAGCTTTCGTCCCCCCCGAACCTGATACCCCCGTCCCTGTTCCCGTGCCTGCTCCCGACCCTGTTCCCGTGCCTGTGCCTGTTGCGGCACCAACAGAGCCTTTCCCGCCGCCAAAGCTAGGGACCACAGACGAGGAGAAAGGGGAGGACGTTGCAAACAGGGCCTTGGGGACTTGTGCCTTCTCACCAGCAGCAAAAGCGCCAGCAGCAGCGGCAGTAGTGGCATTACTACCGGCAGTGGCAGCGGGGGATCCAAATGAGAAAGCGACGGGAGTGAGTGGGGAGGGCGGGGAGGAGGGGGCTTGAAACGCTGTGGCAGCAGCACTAGCGCCGGCAGCGGCAATTGCAGCAACAGCAGCAGCAGGAGCAGCATCAGCAGCACCAGCAGTAGCAGAAACTGCAGCAGCAGGAGAGTGTGGCTTCATGGCGTGCGATTGTGACGACACCGCCTTGCTGTGTGGTGGGAAAGAGGGGAACGGCAGGAGGAGTGAATTTGGGTGGGAGAGTCATGAAAGCAACAAACGGATTAAATCTGCTGAACTGGAACAACCCAAATACTGGATTGGGAAGACATAAAGAAAACGGGAACTGGGACCATTAGTACCAGGAGTACCAACCTGAAGGACAGTGCTGACGAGCGAAATCCAAACTTTGGAACATCTGCTGATGCTGCTGTTGCTGCTTCTGCTGCTGCTGTCTTTCCAACCACTTGAGTGAAATCCAGACCTGCTGCCGAGCCTGGCCTGCTGCCAAAGCTGAACTTAGGCTTGGCGGTCCCCGCACTCTTCTTCTCTACCGAAGCATCTTTAGGTGGAGAGGCCTGGGACTTGGAAAAGCTGCCCGAACCAAACAGCTTCGGGGTTGCCAGACCTGCAGACGGGAATGCCGAGCCTGCTGCAGCTGCCCCAGTGCCATGGAACGAGAAACCCCCAGTGAACCCTGTACCCGCATCCGCACCCGCTCCTGCTGACGTGGAACCAGGGGATCCACGTGGCTGAATAACAATGGTCGGCTGGTCAGATGACGTGGCACCTGCACCTGCCCCTGCTGCTACACCTAAACCTGAACCTGCACCTGAACCTGCTAACTTCCCCTCTGTTTGCTTCTCTCGCAACGTTACCTGCTCTCCCTCTGCCCCTGCCGTCCTGCTCCCTCCCGCCCCCTCACCTACCCCAGTGCTTGCACCTGCACCTGCTGTACCTGCACCTGCTGCAGTACCCGCAGCTGTACCTGCACCCACGCCCCAGACCGAACCTGCTCCCATACCTGTGGCCGAACCCATATTTGCCCCCGAGCCTGTGCCCGCACCTGCAGCCCAAGAAAATCCAGGCTTAGAAGCCGCAGCAGGAGCATGAGCAGCAACTGCAGCGTCAGCACTATTGGCAGCAGCACCTGTACCAAAGGCAGCAGCCGCAGGGGCAGCAGCAGGTGCACCAGAACCAGCAAAATAATCAGTAATAGCAGGTGCTGGAACAAAGCCGTTCTCTGTGTCCCCTCCTGCTCTGTACCCTCCCTTTTCCCTGCGATCCTCTGCAACCACCTCTTTCCCCTTCCCTTTCTGCCCCACCCACTCCAACCCACCAGTAGCACCAAAACCTGCAGCACTCACACCAGCACCAGCTTCACCATCAGCAGCAGCAGGCACACCTGCAACACTCACACCGGCACCTGAGAAACCACCTGAGAAACCACCTGGAGCAGGGTACGCGGGCGGGAGGTCACCAGCAGCCTTTCTGCTCATGTACGTGGGGAGGAACGTCAGGGGAGGCGCCACTATATCGTCCCCCTCCCCCCGCCTGCCCCCCCGCCCCGAGCCCGAACCTGCACCCAGACCTGCACCCAAACCTGAACCCGAACCTGCCCCGAACCGATCGCCAACCCTAGATCTTGGGCCCAGCAATCTCTTCCAGCCATCCACGCCCCTGTCGCTAAACCCACCCTCAGCCCCACCAAACCCGCCAAACCCAATTCTATCCCCGCTTACCCCACCAAACCCGCCCAAACCCCTATCTCCACCAGCACCACTGCCAACCCCGTCTCCCCCGCCGCTTCCCCCCATGCCTCCGCGCCCCTCACCCCGCCCTGCACCCATCCCCCCCTGCGCCCCCGCGCCTGTGATATCCTCTAGCTTGGCGAGAATCTTCTGAGCTGTCTCTAGTGACTTGCCAGGGGCTAGGCTCATTCCAGACAGCACATTTTGCCCCGCCCGCTGCTGCCCCTCTCGCCCCTGCAGCCCCTGCTGCTCTTGCTCCAGTTGCTGCTGGCGCCTGTCTTGTCCGAACCGTCTATTCCCCTCTCTCCCTGACCCCTTTCGCCCGAACAGCCCAAACGTATCCCTCTCTGGGAACAGCCCTCCACCGTCTCCCACCCCTTCAAACGCCTTATCCCACGCGCCCTTCCGTGCACCCAGAGAAAACCCGGGCAGCTCCCCGGGCAGCATGCGCGGCCCGCCGCTGCTGCTGCGAGAGGCAAACGCGTGCGAACGGGCAGCCTGCCCGCGGAGCCGGGCAGAGGGAAGAAAACTTCCAGCCCCAGCAGAAAAGAGCGCAGGGGGGGGGAGGGGAGGGGCAGCTAAAACCCCCAAGACGGAATCTGAACGCCTTGTGACAGGACCGGGGAAGGAGGTGGGGCCGGGAGGGAAGGAGACTATGGCGAGGCGGTTGGGCTGGTGGGAGGCACGCGGGCGAGTGCGTCGTGCTGACTCGGTTCCCCTCAGCCAATCAACATCTGCCTCGTCATCGTCGCGAGCTCGCTTGGCGGACTGACAAGCAGAGGAGGGGATAAAGAGATGGAAAGGGGAGAGGGGGTGGAGGAGAGGGGGCGTGAAGAAGCGGAATTGGAAATAAATTCTAGCAGACAGAAGGAAACGGATGGGAATGCACCAGCAAATGCTAAATGTCGTCTCTGTATCTGCAGCAGCATCCATTCAACTCATCCATCCACTACCAACCTTAGGAGTAGCAGGCACTGAAGCAGCATAGCGGCCGCGAGAAGCAGCAGCGCCTGGGAACACAGCTCGTACCAGCTCCCCGTTACCATCCTCCCTCTCCTCCCCCCTCTCCCTTCCCCACCCACCCTCCTCTTCCTCCTCCCCCTCCTCCCCCCTCTGCTCCTCCTCCTCCCCATCCTCCTCCTCCTCCTGCCGCTGCCCCTGCTGCCCCCACGCGTCCCCCGGAACAGAATCCGAGGGCCGTCGAGAGCCCACCACCACCATCTCACCCCACCCGCTCGCCCTCCCGTCTCCACCCTCGCGCCCAGGAGAGGGATCATTGTCATCGTCATCATCATCATTAGCAGCAGCAACAGCAGCAGTGGGGGTACCGCCACCAGCACCGCTACCAGCAGCGGCGCCGGCAGCAATAGCAGCGGCGGCGGCGGTGGAAGCAGCACGGAGGTCACCTCTCATGTACGCTTTGGCGATATCCACTGGCGACGCCCCGCCCTTGGGTGGGTGGCGGAGAAAAGGGGGAGGGGGAGGAGGAAGGGGGGGGGGAGGGGGCGAAGGGGGAGGGAGGGGCGGAAAGCGTGGGAACGAAGGGGAGGCGTGGTAAGGGGTCACCTCTCATGTCAGCCTTAGGCGTTACTTGCAGGCAATGCTGAACCGTTGGGGGGGTTGGCGGACACAAGGGGGCGGGGAAGGGGGAAAAGGGGAGGGGTTGTGTGAGGAGGGACGGGGGGAAAACAGAAGGTGCAGTGCGGAGGCGAGCAGGTGGGATTAGAAGGGCGCGGCTACGGAAGGGCGAGAAGATGGGAGGAAACGGGAAGATAATTACATCAAGGAAAAAAAAACAAGTGATACAACCTCACACAGCTCGACCTCTTTTCCTGCTCGCACCTCCCCCCTGTCTCCCTTTTTCCTTTCCCCGCTGTCCGCTTCCTTTCCCCTACCTTTCGCCTTCCTTCCCCCTTACCCTTCTCCGTTCCTTCTCCCTCCGCCTTCCTCCTTCATCCTTTCCCTTCCACCTCCCTCTGCCGCCAACGCTTACATCGGGCGTGTGAAACTCCTCGTCCTCGTCCCCGTCAGCAGCACCGCCATCCACGTCAGCAGGCGACGCCCAACCATTGGTCACCGGCGTGGCGAATCTAGATCCCGGATCTCCGCCAGTCAACCCCTTTCCAGCAGACCCCCTACCAGCAAATCCCCTTCCCGACGGCACCGTCCTATCAGCGCCTTTGGAAGCGGCGAAGGTGCGTGCGGCGTCAAAGAACGGCGTGGCAGACGCTGCTGCTGCTGCTGCTGTTGCCGTGCCAGGGGTATGAAACGGCGTGGATCTCAAGCCCCTGGAAGTGGGGTTTGAGCCGCCCGAAGCGGGTTTAAAACCGCCAGGAGTGTGGAACGGCGTTGCTGCAACAGCAGGCGTGTGGAAGGGCGTTGGTGCGACAGAAGGAGTTTGGAACGGTGTGGAGGTGGTAAAAGGGGCGTCAGTGCGTTGTGCGGCGGTGGAGGGAGGGGCGTCAGCATCGTCGACCACCTGAGCGCGCAGCATTTGCGACAGTCGCACGTACTCTCGCCTGCATGCGACACACACGCGCACACACGCACACACACACACGCATGCACGACACACACACACGCATGCGCACGCGCACGCACACGTGCAGACGCGCACACACATATGCGCAATCACATTCACAAACAATCCCGACGACAAACGCGCCATCCTCGCGCACACACGCACAGAAGCACAAACATAACCCGAACCCGGAAATGGACTGACGTTGATTGCACTCAACGCGTCGACATAAAAGTCACCCAGCGGATTTTCAGAAAAACAAAACCTTTCGACACGAGGGGATAGCCAGCATCAGCCGCCACGCCATCAGGGTGTTCTAAAAATCACCCTCGAAAAAACAGTGTACTCACATGGATAGGGAATTTCCACCCAAAGACGGATCGCCAGCACCAGCCGCCACACCGTCAGCTAGGCTGAGGTCTGCCCGGTCGTCCTCCCCTCCACGCGCAGGCTCCTCTTGCCGTTGCGATCCTGGCGGAAGTACCGAGAACGGACGGGGGAAGACGGCAGAGAGAGACAGGGAAAGAGAGCAACACAGAGCGGGAGAGAGAGGACGGGGGGATTAGGCGCGTTTGCTGGCACACGTGAGAAACGCAATGGTAGAAGAAAGAGATTGGTTCTGCAACTTGTTGCTAGGGTTTGGTTGACCTCTGTCTAGGGCATCGCAGCCCTTTCGACGGTCCAACTTAGCAAAAACGAATACATCAAATTAGGGTTTCGGAAAGCAGGAATACGTAAAGAGTTACGTTACCTGACGAAAGATGGTATAATAAGGGTTCGAACAAGAACGTTTTGTGTCTTCTCAGCGGTAGAATGCGCGGGCTGGTTCAATGGACGTCGATTCCGCAATGAACGTCTGAAATGGTCGTACCTGCGTTACCGCGGGCAGCGTCGCTCGCCTGATCGCCGCTCCGTCGCCAGCCAATCATATTCAGCACCGCGCCACCAATTCCTCCGAGCCAACCCTTTTTTTGCGAGCCTCCGTCTTTGCCTCCCGCTGGAGCAGCAGCACCAGCGGAGGCTGTAGCAGCGGCTGTAGCAGCAGCGGCGGCCAGTTGGCCGGCAGCGGCGTGTCTTCCCGTCGCCGGCCGGCTGTACGGCGTGTCCGCTCGCACTCCATATCGCCTGGATCTACCGAGTTTTCCGCCTGTTCCCCCTAGTCCTCCTGTTCCCTCTGCTCCGTAAGGTGTTGACGCTCTATCAAAGAGATGCCCTGAGGCGACAAAATCTGTCGCACGGAACGTCGCATCGTTTGTGAAGCTGGTCGGAAATGCGAATTCTGTGGCGTGCGACGAAGCCATAGCACAGCACACACGACCGTTTGATTTACGACACGAACACGCCCGTCGGCTAACAAGTTAAGAACGACCGACTAACACGTTTAGGGCATCTGTCAACTAGAGACCAAGAAATACCTCCTCATCTGCTTATCCCACTCATCAGCACCCAATCGCGAGCTCCACCCAAACAGATCGAGCCATCTGAGCGGGTGGACCAAAGCAAAAGAAGAGGTGAAAAAGAGGTGGAGCCCGAGAGATCGGGACGGGAAAATGAAAGCAACAGAAGAAACGCATCGATCAAATCGGGAGCCGAGACTCGGGACTCGAGGGGGGGAAGAAACGCGCAGAAATGGATTGGTCCGCTCAGCTCCGTTCCGCTCCGCTCTGCTTCGCTTCCCTGAGCCTGCGCGGGCTGACAGAACGGGCGCGCGGGATAACCCTGGAAATGCCGAACCTGAACTTTTTTGCGTCCCAAAGGTTCCGCCTGACCTCGAGGTTTCGCCACGTCGCTGCGCCAAAAACCCAAAAGGTTTGAATGAGGTGAGGTGAAGCTGGTACAGTAATACTCTGTGCATGAATCGAACTCCTGCACTTATTTGAAATGTTCCAATCCAAACCATTTACACAATCAAAACAGAACAAACACGCGTTTGCAGTATGCACAACAGCACAGCTTTGTGCCACCCGCAAATTCATATATAACATCAACCTTTGGATTGTTGCACCCATTATAATAGAGTTGAGGTAATGGCCTCAACTTATCACATATAGAAAGTTACGGTATACTTTCCGGTGTTTCATATCCGCCTCAGCATTCAAACTCATGAAATAGGATCATATGCATGTGACATCCACGGGTGTAGAAGAGCTTCATCAGCTGTTGGTCTCTTATCAGGGTCCACCTGTAGCAGGAACGCCACAAACTCAAGGAACCCCTCATCTCCCATGGGCAGCCGGTGCTTGAGAGACGTCCTCTTGGGAATCAGATACTCCAATGCATCCGTCTCCTGTGGTGGCGGGAAGGGCAGGGGAGATGGGGTGGATGAAGAAGCATGCTTTCATCCGCATGCCCCATCAACAGTTGGGCGTTAGAAAGGTCTTTCTGGGAACGCAACACTCCAACACATCCATGTACTGTGGTGGCAGGACAGGGAACATAGAGGGGGGGTGCAAGGGTGGGGGGGTGTGTGCGGAGGGGAAAGGTATAAGCTTCCAAGCCCTGAGAGACGCCTATGAGCCATGGGCAGTTGTGCATGAGAGACGCCTTCTTGGGAGTTGGAGATTTTTCAGAAGCCAGTGGTCCTGTCCTGTGAGTCTGTGACGCCCAGAGGGGGTTCATGTGCCCAGACGCCCACCACGCACACACCCAGTACAAACAAACCCCGTAGTACTCAACTCACCACCCTGATTCATTATCAGCTCACCGGGTTGCGCTCATAGAGCACGTGGTGCCGTGTGAAGTACGTGTGCACATCCTTGGCCCTGTGCAGGAGAGCATGAACCACGAGTGCCCACCAACCGCGAGCCTGGTACGGACAACTCCCATGAATATCAACTTACTGGGTTGCACTCATACAGCACGCGGTGCCGTGTGACGTACTTGTGGGCGTCCCTGGCCCTGCGCAGGAGAGAGGGGACTAGGAGCCCTTCCAATGCCCACCACCCATACACCTGGGACGAAAAACCTCATCCCCCCTCCCACTGAGCTCACCGGGTTCCTCTCATACAGCACGCGGTGCCGTGTGACGTACTTGCGGGCGTCCCTGGCCCTGCGCAAGAGAGCGGGGACCAGCCATGGGCCCTGTCGATGGGCCCTATGAGGTGCCCACCACCCACACACACACCTGATACCATCAAACCCCCACCCCCCACTCGGCTCACCGGGTTGCACTCATACAGCACTCTGTGGCGTGTGAAGTACTTGTGGGCGTCCTTGGCTCTGCGCAGGAGAGAGAGGGCCGTCCACGGGCCCCATAGAACACCCACCACACACCTGCTACGAACAAACCCCCAAGGGAATGAACTCACCGGGTTCCTCTCATACAGCACTCTGTGGCGTGTGAAGTACTTGTGGGCGTCCTTGGCTCTGCGCAGGAGAGAGGGGTCGATGGGCCCTATGATGCCCACCACCCGCGCCAGCAGCGTTGCCAGAGAGTCATTTTGAAACAGCACCTGGCGGGGAGGGGAGGAATGAGAGGGATGGGAAGGATGGGAAGGATGGGAGTGCAGGAGAGTAGGTATTTATATGTGTGATATGTGTGCTATGTGTGATATGTGTGCTATGTGTGATATGTGTGCTATGTGTGATATGTGTGCTATGTGTGATATGTGTGCTATGTGTGATATGTGTGCTATGTGTGATATGTGTGCTGTGTGTGCTATGTGTGCTATGTGTGATATGTGTGCTATGTGTGATATGTGTGCTATGTGTGATATGTGTGCTATGTGTGATATGTGTGCTATGTGTGATATGTGTGCTATGTGTGCTATGTGTGCTATGTGTGATATGTGTGCTATGTGTGATATGTGTGCTATGTGTGATATGTGTGCTATGTGTGATATGTGTGCTATGTGTGATATGTGTGCCATATCGATGGTGGATGGAGGGCATGAGAGAGGATACTTGTGAGTGTGCTTCAGTGCCTACCTCTTTGTGTGTGCGTGCATGTGCTCATGTGGGCGCCTTATCACACACATGAAATGTTCCAAACGCCCCTCCCCCATCCCTCTCTTCTCCCACCCTCCCCTCCAGCCCCAGAATGACCTCAGGCGCCCGGTACGAGCGCGACTGCACATACGAGCACAGCGCATCCCACGTGAAGCAGCTGCTGCCCCCACCCCCCACTTCCCCGTCCTCCCTTCCTGCTCTCACCACTCCCTCTCCCTCCCTCCCTCTCCCTCCCCTCCCCAACCCTCCTCTCCCCTCCCTCGCACCTGTCCAGAGCAGAGCTCAGCGAGAATACACCCGGAGCGACCACACGTCAATCTTGGGCCCACAGAGCAGCCCCAGAATGACCTCAGGCACGCGTCCTCTCTTTCTCTCACCCTCTTCCTCCTCTCCCCTCCTCCTCACCTGTCCAGAGCAGAGCTCAGCGAGAATACACCCGAGCGACCACACGTCGATCTTGGGCCCGTAGGGAAGCCCCAGAATGACCTCGGGCGCGCGGTACGAGCGCGACTGCACGTACGAGCACAGCGCATCCCACGTGAAGCAGCTGCTGCCCCCACGGCCCGGCCCCCCTTTTCCCACCCTCCCTTCCCGCACTTTCCTTCCTGCCCCCCCTCTCCCGCTTCCTCCATTCCTCTCTCTCTCTCTCCCTTTCCCCTCCCTCTCACACCCTCACCTGTCCAGAGCAGAGCTCAGCGAGAATACACCCGAGCGACCACACGTCAATCTTGGGTCCGTAGGGAAGCCCCAGGATGACCTCGGGTGCCCGATACGAGCGCGACTGCACGTAAGAGCACAGCGCATCCCACGTGAAGCAGCTGCTGCCGATGTCGATCACTTTAACGAGGCAGCGGGAGTAGCTCTTAATGAGGATGTTCTCGGGCTTGAGGTCACAATGTATGAGCCCCAACGAGTGCATGAAGGAGAGCGCTTTCAGGATCTGCTTGGCAATGGACTGGGTTGGGAGAGAGGGAGCGGGGAGAAGGGCAGGGAGCGAGTAGCTCTTGATGAGGATGTTCTCAGGCTTGAGGTCGCAGTGGATTAACCCCAACGAGTGCATGAAAGATAGCGCCTTGAGAATTTTCTTAGCAATGGACTGGCGCACACAGGGCCAATGAGGGAGAGGGGGAGCAGGAGGGGTATTAAAAGAGGGGACGTGGGAGCACGCGAGTAGCTCTTGATGAGGATGTTTTCGGGCTTGAGGTCGCAGTAAATGAAGTTTAGAGAGTGCATGAAGGAGAGCGCTTTCAGGATCTGCTATGTCGGATCGGACAGCTGGGAGGGGAGGCAGCGCGAGTGGCTCTTGATAAGGATGTTCTCGGGCTTGAGGTCGCAGTGGATTAACCCCAGCGAGTGCATGAAGCGTAGAGCCTTTGAGAAATTTCCGCGCTTTGGACTGGGCACAGTGAGAGGTGGGACGTGGGAGGACAAGAGAGGCTGTAAAGGTGGTCAGACAGCAAGAAATGGAGTCCTCTCCTGAAAAGAGCCAAGTGTACGAGGTGACGAATGTTCACCTGGATGCGCGGCATGGTGAAATAAACCTCGCCTCCCGACTCGCGATTGTACTTGTGAAACTCGTACAGGTTGGGCAGACCCCTCTCACAAAGGCGAACAGTAACAGCTGCAGCTGCATCTCACCTGAATGCGCGGCATGGTGAAATAAACCTCTCCTCCTGATTCCCGGTTGTACTTGTGAAACTCGTACAGGTTGGGCAGACCCCTCTCACAAAGGCGAACAGTAACAGCTGCAGCTGCATCTCACCTGAATGCGCGGCATGGTGAAATAAACCTCTCCTCCTGATTCCCGGTTGTACTTGTGAAACTCGTACAGGTTGGGCAGACCCCTCTCACAAAGGCGAACAGTAACAGCTGCAGCTGCATCTCACCTGAATGCGCGGCATGGTGAAATAAACCTCTCCTCCTGATTCCCGGTTGTACTTGTGAAACTCGTACAGGTTGGGCAGACCCCTCTCACAAAGGCGAACAGTAACAGCTGCAGCTGCATCTCACCTGAATGCGCGGCATGGTGAAATAAACCTCTCCTCCTGATTCCCGGTTGTACTTGTGAAACTCGTACAGGTTGGGCAGACCCCTCTCACAAAGGCGAACAGTAACAGCTGCAGCTGCATCTCACCTGAATGCGCGGCATGGTGAAATAAACCTCTCCTCCTGATTCCCGGTTGTACTTGTGAAACTCGTACAGGTTGGGCAGACCCCTCTCACAAAGGCGAACAGTAACAGCTGCAGCTGCATCTCACCTGAATGCGCGGCATGGTGAAATAAACCTCTCCTCCTGATTCCCGGTTGTACTTGTGAAACTCGTACAGGTTGGGCAGACCCCTCTCACAAAGGCGAACAGTAACAGCTGCAGCTGCATCTCACCTGAATGCGCGGCATGGTGAAATAAACCTCTCCTCCTGATTCCCGGTTGTACTTGTGAAACTCGTACAGGTTGGGCAGACCCCTCTCACAAAGGCGAACAGTAACAGCTGCAGCTGCATCTCACCTGAATGCGCGGCATGGTGAAATAAACCTCTCCTCCTGATTCCCGGTTGTACTTGTGAAACTCGTACAGGTTGGGCAGACCCCTCTCACAAAGGCGAACAGTAACAGCTGCAGCTGCATCTCACCTGAATGCGCGGCATGGTGAAATAAACCTCTCCTCCTGATTCCCGGTTGTACTTGTGAAACTCGTACAGGTTGGGCAGACCCCTCTCACAAAGGCGAACAGTAACAGCTGCAGCTGCATCTCACCTGAATGCGCGGCATGGTGAAATAAACCTCTCCTCCTGATTCCCGGTTGTACTTGTGAAACTCGTACAGGTTGGGCAGACCCCTCTCACAAAGGCGAACAGTAACAGCTGCAGCTGCATCTCACCTGAATGCGCGGCATGGTGAAATAAACCTCTCCTCCTGATTCCCGGTTGTACTTGTGAAACTCGTACAGGTTGGGCAGACCCCTCTCACAAAGGCGAACAGTAACAGCTGCAGCTGCATCTCACCTGAATGCGCGGCATGGTGAAATAAACCTCTCCTCCTGATTCCCGGTTGTACTTGTGAAACTCGTACAGGTTGGGCAGACCCCTCTCACAAAGGCGAACAGTAACAGCTGCAGCTGCATCTCACCTGAATGCGCGGCATGGTGAAATAAACCTCTCCTCCTGATTCCCGGTTGTACTTGTGAAACTCGTACAGGTTGGGCAGACCCCTCTCACAAAGGCGAACAGTAACAGCTGCAGCTGCATCTCACCTGAATGCGCGGCATGGTGAAATAAACCTCTCCTCCTGATTCCCGGTTGTACTTGTGAAACTCGTACAGGTTGGGCAGACCCCTCTCACAAAGGCGAACAGTAACAGCTGCAGCTGCATCTCACCTGAATGCGCGGCATGGTGAAATAAACCTCTCCTCCTGATTCCCGGTTGTACTTGTGAAACTCGTACAGGTTGGGCAGACCCCTCTCACAAAGGCGAACAGTAACAGCTGCAGCTGCATCTCACCTGAATGCGCGGCATGGTGAAATAAACCTCTCCTCCTGATTCCCGGTTGTACTTGTGAAACTCGTACAGGTTGGGCAGACCCCTCTCACAAAGGCGAACAGTAACAGCTGCAGCTGCATCTCACCTGAATGCGCGGCATGGTGAAATAAACCTCTCCTCCTGATTCCCGGTTGTACTTGTGAAACTCGTACAGGTTGGGCAGACCCCTCTCACAAAGGCGAACAGTAACAGCTGCAGCTGCATCTCACCTGAATGCGCGGCATGGTGAAATAAACCTCTCCTCCTGATTCCCGGTTGTACTTGTGAAACTCGTACAGGTTGGGCAGACCCCTCTCACAAAGGCGAACAGTAACAGCTGCAGCTGCATCTCACCTGAATGCGCGGCATGGTGAAATAAACCTCTCCTCCTGATTCCCGGTTGTACTTGTGAAACTCGTACAGGTTGGGCAGACCCCTCTCACAAAGGCGAACAGTAACAGCTGCAGCTGCATCTCACCTGAATGCGCGGCATGGTGAAATAAACCTCTCCTCCTGATTCCCGGTTGTACTTGTGAAACTCGTACAGGTTGGGCAGACCCCTCTCACAAAGGCGAACAGTAACAGCTGCAGCTGCATCTCACCTGAATGCGCGGCATGGTGAAATAAACCTCTCCTCCTGATTCCCGGTTGTACTTGTGAAACTCGTACAGGTTGGGCAGACCCCTCTCACAAAGGCGAACAGTAACAGCTGCAGCTGCATCTCACCTGAATGCGCGGCATGGTGAAATAAACCTCTCCTCCTGATTCCCGGTTGTACTTGTGAAACTCGTACAGGTTGGGCAGACCCCTCTCACAAAGGCGAACAGTAACAGCTGCAGCTGCATCTCACCTGAATGCGCGGCATGGTGAAATAAACCTCTCCTCCTGATTCCCGGTTGTACTTGTGAAACTCGTACAGGTTGGGCAGACCCCTCTCACAAAGGCGAACAGTAACAGCTGCAGCTGCATCTCACCTGAATGCGCGGCATGGTGAAATAAACCTCTCCTCCTGATTCCCGGTTGTACTTGTGAAACTCGTACAGGTTGGGCAGACCCCTCTCACAAAGGCGAACAGTAACAGCTGCAGCTGCATCTCACCTGAATGCGCGGCATGGTGAAATAAACCTCTCCTCCTGATTCCCGGTTGTACTTGTGAAACTCGTACAGGTTGGGCAGACCCCTCTCACAAAGGCGAACAGTAACAGCTGCAGCTGCATCTCACCTGAATGCGCGGCATGGTGAAATAAACCTCTCCTCCTGATTCCCGGTTGTACTTGTGAAACTCGTACAGGTTGGGCAGACCCCTCTCACAAAGGCGAACAGTAACAGCTGCAGCTGCATCTCACCTGAATGCGCGGCATGGTGAAATAAACCTCTCCTCCTGATTCCCGGTTGTACTTGTGAAACTCGTACAGGTTGGGCAGACCCCTCTCACAAAGGCGAACAGTAACAGCTGCAGCTGCATCTCACCTGAATGCGCGGCATGGTGAAATAAACCTCTCCTCCTGATTCCCGGTTGTACTTGTGAAACTCGTACAGGTTGGGCAGACCCCTCTCACAAAGGCGAACAGTAACAGCTGCAGCTGCATCTCACCTGAATGCGCGGCATGGTGAAATAAACCTCTCCTCCTGATTCCCGGTTGTACTTGTGAAACTCGTACAGGTTGGGCAGACCCCTCTCACAAAGGCGAACAGTAACAGCTGCAGCTGCATCTCACCTGAATGCGCGGCATGGTGAAATAAACCTCTCCTCCTGATTCCCGGTTGTACTTGTGAAACTCGTACAGGTTGGGCAGACCCCTCTCACAAAGGCGAACAGTAACAGCTGCAGCTGCATCTCACCTGAATGCGCGGCATGGTGAAATAAACCTCTCCTCCTGATTCCCGGTTGTACTTGTGAAACTCGTACAGGTTGGCTCGTAGCAGCTCGCATATGATGAAGAGGTGCTCCTGTTGGGGGGTGGGAGAACAGAGGATGAGGAAGGAAAGGAGGAACAAGATGGGAGGTGAGGGAAACTCGTACAGGTTGGCTCGTAGCAGCTCGCATATGATGAACATATGCTCCTGCGAGAGGGTGGGGTGGGGAGAGAGGGGAGACGTGGAGGGGGAAGGGTAAGGGAATTCGAAAGACTTTGAGACCTTGAAAGATCCGTGTCATGCATACTCCCAGCCCATGCATACTCCCAGCCACACAAGCCCACCTTCTCCTTCCCGTTCCACTTCATGACACACACACTCACCCAATCACTCACTCACACGCACACGCTCTCACTCACTCACCCGGTGGTAGAAGTAATCATACATCCGAAGAAGACAGTGCTCGTCTGCGGGATCATGCTGGTTGATAAACTTCAACAGCTTGATCTCATCAAGACTTTGATCGAAAAAGTCCTTGTTGTTTTTTATGATCTTCATGCACACGTCCATTCCCGTGTGCAGGTCGTGCGCCTGAATGGCCTTGCTGAACGCCGCTGCCCCCAGGTACTCTGTCACGTAGTATCGACCCGCTATCACTGAATTCAGGACGACTGGAAAGTCCTTGTCCTCCTCGAACCCCGTTCTGGTTGGGTCGACAGGCAAGTAGGAGAGGGATAGAGGGAGAAGGAGGGAAGGAGGGAGGGAAGGAGCGATGAGGCAGGGAAAGGGAATGATCTTCATGCACACGTCCATGCCCGTGTGCAGGTCGTGCGCCTGAATGGCCTTGCTGAACGCCGCTGCCCCCAGGTACTCTGTCACGTAGTAGCGCCTAGGTATCATAGAGTTCAAAACCACTGGGAAGTCTTTTTCCTCCTCGAATCCCGTTCTGGCGGGGACGATGTGGGGATGTGGTGGGGGAGGCACACAACACAAGGAGGGGAAAGGGGGGTTTGGTCTCTATGCGATACGGTATTTATCTGGACCCGGCATCGCCTTGCTGAACGCTGCTGCCCCCAGGTACTCTGTCACGTAGTATCGCCCAGCTATGACTGAGTTGAGAACTACGGGAAAGTCCTTGTCCTCCTCGAACCCCGTTCTGTTGAGTGAGGGTAGAGGGAAGGAAGGGGAAGGAGGAGGAGGGGGAGGAAGAGGAGGAATGTGTGGGTTTGAGGGGTCAAGGAGGGGGAATGATCTTCATGCACACGTCCATGCCCGTGTGCAGGTCGTTCGCCTGAATGGCCTTGCTGAACGCCGCTGCCCCCAGGTACTCTGTCACGTAGTATCGACCCGCTATCACTGAATTCAGGACGACTGGAAAGTCCTTGTCCTCCTCGAACCCCGTTCTGGTGGGGATGCGGTGGGGATGCGGTGGGGATGCGGTGGGATGCGGTGGGATGCGGTGGGAAGGCACACAACACAAGGAGGGAGAAGGGGCGTTTGGTGTTTGTGTGACATGGTGTTTATCCAGACTCGGGATGGCCTTGCTGAACGCCGCTGCCCCCAGGTACTCTGTCTGTGACATAGTAGCGCCCCGCTATCACTGAGTTGAGAACCACTGGAAAGTCCTTGTCCTCCTCAAACCCCGTTCTGGTGGGGATGTGGTGGGAGAAGAGAGCAAGGGAGATATTTCAACACACTGAGAAGTCTTCCTCTCTTCGAAACCATTTCTGCAGAGGAGGGGTGGAGGGAAGGAGGGCGGAGGAGAGGAGGAGGGGTGGGGTTGAGGGGAGGAGTGAGGGAATACGTCTTGTTTTGAATAGACGCAGAAGTGACGTTTGAGTCGACTCAAAGAGCTTCTCACCTGTTCTTTCTGTGAATGACTCTCAGATTGAACGTCTCAAACTCCTCCTCCTCCTTCCCCTTCCCCTCCTCCTTCCCCGTCCCCTCCTCGTTATCTGCTACTGCTGTGTGCTCCCCACTCTTTGCCTTCTTCTCACCACCCCCTGCCCCATCCCCTCCTTCCTTCCCCACTGCCTTTCCTCTCCCTGCTTCTCCCAAACTCGCTTCATCCTGCTTCTTCTCTTCCTCCCCCGTTCCCACCTCTCCACCCCCCAATCCCCCCACCTCCCCCAACTCCCCCACTTCAACAGATTCCACCGAAAGCCTCGACCGTCTATCCCCCACCACACTACTCCGCGCACTTCCCCCCTCACTCCCCGCCCCACTCCTCCCCTCCCCTCCCCCACCCCCCACACTCCCTGCCGCCGCAAAATCCCAGTTCCCCGAAGCAGTCTGCGCAAGCTTCGGGAACGTGCCACTGGCCTGCTTCTTCCAAACCTCTAGCGTGTTATCAGCCACGCTCCCCATTCTCTCTAGTTCGTGTTCTAGCTCCTGCTCCCCCATGCCTGCTGCTCCGCTGCTGCCCAGGGACGGGGGAGTTAACCCCTCCCCCAGCCCCGACCACCCGGAGTTACCCCGCGAAAGCCCCTCGTTACTCGAGGGCGAGTGGAACGAAAAGCCCCCCCCTTCCCCATCGTGGCCAAACCCGCCTCCCCCGTCCCCTCCTCCCCTGTCTCGGCCCCCCCCAAAGCCTCCAAAGTCCTCTCCAAACCCACCTCCCCCTCCCTCTTCCCCTTGGTCATCATCCCTCCGCCCCTCCTCTGCATTTCCCCCTGCCCCGCCCCCACTCCCCCTCGCCCCATTTCCTACAATCACATTCTGTAAAAGCACACCCCTGCCACCCTTCCGATCAGCACTCTTAGAGGCACCACCACCATCCACGCCACCCGCTTCACTGGTCCTCGTATCAATCAGATCCACAATGAGATCGACAGCACTGCCTCCCTCCACCACCTCTGCCCCACCGTTCAACCTCTCCCCCCCACCCCCTCGCTCTTTCTCCCCCTCCACAACACCCTCTGCCCCCCCTGCTGCAGCGCCTGCTGCCCCGCTCCCTGATTCCGCCCCCTCCTCTACCCCACTACTCTTCTGCACCGCTTCATAACTCATCTCCACCCCTTTCCCTGCTGTGCCGCTGCTGCTCCCCTTCTCTGCCTCCCGAACTGACAGGTCTACATCCAATGAACTCCCCTCTCCTGCACTCTTTCCCTCTGATACCTTGCTGCTGCTGCTGCTCTCCTTCCCACCACCCAACGCACTCCCCCCTGCACTCTTACCCACTGATACCTTGCTGCTCTCCTCCCCACCATCCAGCGCACTCGTCCCTTTACCTTTACTCACTGAGACTTTACTGCTGCTGCTGCCCTTCTCGTCATCAGTCTCCGAGTCTAGCTCATACAATAAGAACCTCTCCTCATCCTCCACTAGTCTCCTCACATACCCCACGTCCTCCTCCTCCTCATACGCGTCAGAGTCCGACCCACTACCCTCTAACAGCAGCATCTCGCTATAATCCACCCCCGGACCGCGCTCCCCCGCGTCTGACTCAGCAGCTGCTGACGTGGACCTGGTTACCACCGATGCTGACCCGTCCGCCGTCCCCGAACGAGACAGCACAGGCCCGGACCCTCCGCTTCCTGCCAACCCTCCCCTTCCTCCCACCCCCCCCCTGGGCGAGTGTCGAGACGACTGAAGAGGAGAGCTTCGGGTCAGCTCATGAGAAAAGCCCCCCAATACATTCCCTGACCCCCCTGCTCCTGCCAACGCTCCCCGAGGAGAATGCCTAGTCGACTCAAGCGTTCTCGCAATATTCCCTGACCCGCCTCCTCCTGCCAGCGCGCCGGCACCATGTGGGCGCCTTATACCGAATTCTTCTGACACCACCTGAGAGCCCACGACCACGGGGCCGATTGTGATTGTAGGGAGGGGCGAGGAGGGCGCGGAGGAGGGTGCAGAGGACCCCGCGGGGCTGCGCTCCCCCGATGCCTGCCGCTGATGCTGCCCTACTCCCTGCTGCCCCTGCTGCTGTGGTGGTGCGACCACGGGGGCGATTGTGATTGTAGGCAGGGGGGAGGACGGCGCGGAGGACCCCACGGGGCTGCGCTCCCCTGACGCCTGCCGCTGGTGGTGCGCCCCCCCCTGCTGCCCCGCCCCCTGCTGCCCCGCCCAATGCTGCCCCTGCTGCCCCTGCTGCTGCGGTGTTGTGACCACTTGCGCCAATGCTTGCGCTTCCCCCATCCCCCCCACACCAGGTACCGCGGCAAACTCAAGCACCTCTGCACCCACACCCACCTCTCCCAACCCCCCCACACATTCCAACTCGTTTCCGGCGCTCCCTCTTGCACTGCCCCCGCTGTCCTTCGCGCTTCCCCCACTGCCCCTTGCGCTTCCCCTTGCGCTTCCCCCTGCGCCCCAGTCACTTCCCCCGCCGTCCCTCTCCCCGCCCCCTCTGCTCTCCCGCAGGGAGCCAATCCCGAAGTCCAGCGACGCGACCAGATTCACCCCGTCACGGCTCTCTGCGCTGAGGCGAATCGGCTTCAAACGGGGAAAACCGCTGTCTAACGCGGACGCGACTGGAGGGGCGTCAGCGGGGGAAGGTGCTGTATCCAATACCGGAGCAGCTTTAGGAGGGGATTCGGTTAAGCCGAGAATAGGGTCGGCAACGAGGAGAGGAACGAGATCGCGGCTCTCTGCTTCCTCCCCTCCCGTCGCACCAGGGAGATCCCGATCCGACGGCGCTGATGTCGCAGCCGAACCTGCTGCTGCCGAACCTGATGCTATCGAACCTGATGCCGCCGAGCCTGCTGCCGAACCTGTGTTATTCGGTTCGGCAAGAGCAGCGGCGTGCAGAGATGCGTCCTCCTCGTGAACCACGTCCAGGGACCGGGGGGACGGCAGGGAGGTTGGGGACGGCAGCGACGGGGATCTCGGGAAATACGCCGCGGAAAACGGATGCTCGCTTTTAGGAGGAGGTGCTCCCGAGGAAGAGAGAGAAGAGATGATTTGCGGCGGCTGACGCGGAGAGCGGCCCGGCGGAGTGGCGGAGGGGGATTGCGTGGGAGGAGTGGCGGAGGGGGATTGGGACAAGGGGGGAGTGGCGGAGGGGGATTGCGCCATGGGGGGAGAGTGCGCCGGCGACCACGGCAGGCCGGCGTGTTCCAGAAACTGCGACGGCGCCGTGTTGCTCCGCGCGATCGCATTGAAGCCCGCGAATCCCGCAAACCCGCCGCCGGTTCCGCCGCTGTTTCCCCCGCCGGTCCCGCCGCCGCTGCTGGCGCCGCCTCCTGCCCCGGAAAACACGGAGCCGCGATTAAACATTTGGTCCTGCGTCATCCAGAGGAAGAGATTAACGTCCATATCGGACGGGTCCGGCGGAGGGCGGGAGGAGGAGGCGGCGGAGGCGGCGGGAGGAGAGGACTGCTGGAACATGTGAGAAGGCAGCTTCTGCGAAGGGCGTTTCTGCTTCTGCGACATTTCGAGTCGCAGCGCCTCCGCGGCCTTGTGGAGGTTATTGCGCTCCAAGTACTCCACGATGGCGCCTAACGTGTCGCCCATGGCGGATGGCGGATGAAGGATGGCGAGTCCCGCGCTGAGCGCGGCGTTAAGAAATCTGTCCACGCGCGGATGTGCTACGCGCGGAGATGCTAGGCGCGGAGATATTACACGCGGAGATGCTACGAGCTCCTTCTTCGCCTGACGGTCTCGATGACAATTCAAGCAGCAGTAATCAATCACGCCGACGAATGATCATGATGAAATGTGGACTAACGTGGTGCCAGGTCACAGCAAACCTGGAAACGCGACAGCACACGGCGGATGGCCGGACTATCTGTGATGTCAGGTCAGGTGATCTTAATCTCCGTCCCTGCCTTCGAACAGTGCTTACGTGGTAGCCCAAAACCAGAAACTGCTGACTCCATGAAATATCGTCGACGCATCGCATATTTCTAGAGACATTGATCCGCTAGTGATTCAGAGGTAATAGCAGGAAAATAGTAGTATTCAAGGTGGATGTTGACGAAGGAGCTGGAGGGTTCCAAACTCCGTAGTTTCAGTGAGGTTCTCGACTGTATTATGTGTTTCAGTATGATATAGTACGCTGTCGATAGGTTGTCGTCCGAACAAATTGAAGGATCATGATGCGATGGATGTGCCACACCCTGACACCTCGTAACTGTCAGATTCAGAGCCCAAGGCGTATCACCGCCGCACATCTGACAATCTCCTCTCGGCAAATTTGTTTGAACCGGCGCTGGAGCTTGTGACGCGGAAAAAACAAATCCCAAGAGTTGATCTGCTACTGGGCATATATATCCAACGTGATGTCCAATTGTTACGGGTACAATGAATCTAGGTAGTGAGGATTGCACTAAGGTGTCAAACGAGTACAAAATGTGAGCGAAGGCATGAGCGAACATTTATACGCGAAACATGCAAACGGTAACGCGGTGCGTGTGAGCTAGCCAGTGCTACGCTGGCAGCGAGGCTCGGGCTAGTCCCGAAGCGTAGGCCGACACGGCCGGGCCAGCAGTGCGAGGTTTGGTGAAACAGTGCGCGCGAAGTCGGCGAAGCTCCGTTAGCAGTAACAGGCGAACAACGGCTGCTACTGTACGCGATGTTGCAGGGCGCGCTAAGGAATGTCGATGCAGGGCGAGTCATGGATGGCGGGCGGTGACGAGGCAGTTGGCTTGTGGTTGGGATGTACGGGCGAAGCAGGCTAACGTGGAATGAAGGGCTGACGTACCAGTCTGTCGGCAATAGTAAGTGGGTTGTCACTGGGGTAATCATGTGGCTGATTTGGAATGGTCCACAGTAGCGGGGTCGTAATTTCGGTACGACGGGCAGTCTTAAGTTCTGTGTGTCGAGCAGTACGTAATCGCCTGACTGGTACGTGACTGGGCGGCGGTGGCGGTCAGCGTTGCGCTTAGCGATGACATTTGCCTTTTTAATTGCTTCAGCGGCTCTGGTGCGGGCAGCTTGCATAATCTCGCCGAATTGTTGTGCACGTGGCGTTGGGTTGTCCGGACTCGGCGTCATGGGCACTGTAGGGTTTTGCCCGTAGTTCAAGTAGAACGGGGACTGCTGCGTCGTCGCTGACGTGGCGTTATTGTACGCGAACTCAATCAGCGGCAGCTGCTGCTCCCAAGTTGTCGGGTCGTCGCACGTGGCACGAATCAACTGCTCCATCGTCTGATTCGTCCGCTCCGTTTGACCGTCGGTCTCGGGGTGGTACGACGAGCTGAACTGTAGCCTGGTCCCGAACTGCTCCCAAAGGTTTTTCCAGAAGTTGCTGGTGAACTTCGTGTCGCGGTCGCTGATTATCGCGGCTGGTATCCCGTGCAGTCGAACGACGGCTGCGATGAACAGGCGAGCGGTTTCTTCGGCTGAGATCGATTTCTTGCACGCAGCGAAGTGTGTCATCTTCGTCAACCTGTCAACGACGACCATAACCGCGTCGTTACCCCCAGGGTTCGAAGGTAACCCCGTGACGAAATCCATGGTAACATGCTGCCAGGCGCGCTCAGGCGGTGGAATCGGCTGCAACTGACCCACCTTTTTTTTTTTTCGCGAGCTCTTCATCGCCTGACACGTAGGACACGAGCCCACGTGGTGCTGTACGTCGGTCAACAGCTCCGGCCAGTAGTAATACCGCTGCAGTTGCTGTCGCGTTTTTTCTACCCCAAAATGTCCCGAGGTAATCCCATCGTGTGCCTCCTGTAGTAACAGTTCCCTCAGTAGTGGGTACGCTGGTACCCAGATGCGGTTGGTGCCTGTTTTAACGTAACAGACTCCTTTTGCTTCTGCCAATGGCTGTGAATTTCCAGCCGTGAAAAATGGGTCGGTACTGTATCCGTGGGTGAATAGGCCTGTTAGTAGTGGGTTGGTTTGGGCGAGTAGGATGGCGTGGAGTTGGGCAGTGGGGCGTGTGAGTGCGTCGGCGATGTTGGATGCACCTTTTTTGTACGTGACCGTGTAGTGGAAGTTGGACTCCAGATAGTCCAACCAGCGGATCTGTCGTGGGTTGCGATTCGGTTGGGCGCGAAGGTACTGTAGTGATCGGTGGTCTGTCCGTACTGTCACGTCTGCTCCCGTGAGGTAACATCGCCACACCTTGAACCCGTGCACGATCGCCAGCATCTCGCGGTCGTGTATCGGGTAGTTGCGTTCGGGCGGGTGAAGCTTGCGGGACTCGTATGCGATTGGCTGGAGGCCGTTCCCGAAGTTCTGCAACAGTACTGCTCCCACTGCGATGTCGCTAGCGTCAGTGACGAGCTCGAACGGACGGTGCGGATCTGCGATGTGAAGCACGGGTGGCGAGCACAAAGTTGCTTTGAGGGCCGAGAAGGCAGCTTGCTCTTTCTCCCACCACGTGTACTCAACCCCCTTCCTCAGCAGGTCGGTCAACGGGGCAGTCAATTTCGCCATGTCGGGGACGAATCGTCGCACGTAGTTGACGAACCCCAGAAAACTCTGCAACTCAGTCAAGTTTGTCGGCGCGTGCCATGCTTGAATCGTCGCGATCTTCTTCGGGTCTATTTCCACTCCTTCAGCTGAAATAATGTGTCCTAGAAACTCCAGTCGGTCTTGTAAAAACTCACACTTAGAAGCTTTGGTCAGTAGGCGGTTTTCACTCAGTATTTTTAAAACGGCTCCGATGTCCTGTAAGTGCTGTGCTCTGTCGGGGATGTAAATCAGTATGTCGTCGATGTATGCGATGACGCACTTATCTAAAAGCGGGCGGAAGGCTTCGTTCATCGTCATTTGGAAAGTGGCGGGGGCGTTGGTCAGTCCGAAGGGCATGACTATGTATTCGAAGGATCCGTAGCGTGTTCGGAAAGCTGTCTTGGGGCAGTCGGGTGGGTTGACGCGAATCTGGTGGTAACCCCCTCTAAGGTCAATTTTCGAAAAAACCCGGGCTGTGCGTAGTTGGTCGATCAGTTCGTCGGCTCGCGGGATGGGGTAACGGGATTTGATGGTAACCCTGTTCAGTGCCCTGTAGTCTATGCACATGCGAAAACCCCCGTCCTTCTTCGGCGTGAACAGTATCGGGGCTGCGAAGGGTGACGAACTCGGGCGAATGAACTCTTTTTCGAGCAGGTAATCCAGCTGCTTCCTCAGTTCGTCCAGTTCGGGTTGGGTCAGTCGGAACTGTCGCTGTACTGTCGGCTGTGCTCCCGGTTCTAGTTCTATCCTGTGGTCGTGCGGTCGCTGAGGTGGCAGTCCTGTCGGCAGATCGTCCGGAAATATTTCACTGTACTGCTTCAGAAGTGCTGCCAGGTCATCCGGTACGTCGGCTAGCAGTTTCCGTAAATCCCCCCCTTTGTCTGCTGCCTCGGCTTCCCGAATGTCGACCGCGTACACGTCAGCTCCTGCCGCTACGGCGCGTTTCATCGTGATCGCGTTGACATGCACCAACGAAGACTCAGGCGAGCCCCAGCGAGGTAAGGCAATGTTGTTACCGTTTACTCGCACGGTGCAGTCACCCGTCGTCCAGTCGATTCGCGGATTGTGCCTTCGCAGCCAATCACGACCGAGTAAAATGTCGGTTCCGTCGAGGGTTGTCGCGAGCATTTCCTGGCTAAACGTGAAGTTACCCCCGCATCGAATCCGAACCCGGTCTACACGTTCCCGTATCGCCAGTGGCGTGCCGTCAACCAGTCTTGCGTCGATCTCAGGCAACCATCTGTCCAGTGGCAGTTTCAGTTTCCGTGATGTGGCAGTGTTGATGAGGCTCTGGCTGGCTCCCTCATCCTACGAAGATTTTAACTAAGTCTGTCCTGATTTTCCCACTAAGCAGTATGGGGCTGTCCACCGTAGTACCCTCCTTATTCGGCCGGGTGTGGTCGATTGCGTGAACCGGCACAATCACTCGGTGAGGGTCGGTTGGGTCGGGCGAGCGGCGTGACCTGTCAGTAAAGGGCCCGTCTGCTACTGACTCCCAGCGTTTCCCTGCTGCTTGGTCTGTTTCTGCAGCTCAGCTTCCCCCTTTCCCTTAGCGTTTTCCGGGCATTCGCTCTTACGGTGTCCCGGCCGATTGCACGCGAAGCAGCGCCCTTTGAACGGTGCAGCAGCGGCATTCGCGGCGACGGCACGTATCGTAGCGCCCTCGTTCGTCCCACGAGACCGATGTCCCCAGTTACTGCTTTCGTAGGACCCCGGTCTCGGTCGGCGGAAGAAGTCAAGTTTCTCCGCCATAGCGATAATTTCTTGGAAATCGGTGACGCCGCGAAGCTGGATTTCCTGAGCGATGTCGTGCTTCAGGCCGCCGATGTAGCGGTCGATGCGTTTGCTCTCGTGCATATAGCCCACTTGCTCGCATAGCGCCAGAAACCCGCTCGTGTAGTCCTGGACGGAACCGAGTTGGCGCCAAGTGCGGAGCTTCTATCGCGCCGCGATCGAAGCCGCAATTGGCTCAAACCGAGCGCGCAGACCTGCACACCACGCGTACCACGTGCGATATTGGGGCACCTCCACGAAATACGACGGCGCCCAGGGTCCGGTTTGTCCTTCCCGTGTCGGTAGAGTCGTGTAGTCCACCGGCTTCGCGACGATGACACGCCAGCAGACCATGGCGGTCCTCGCAGCACCGACACGGCGTAGCGGATTTTTGCCGTATCCTCCGAGACATAGTTTGCGTCGAAGAAAACGTTCAACGTGAATAACCACGCCTGAACGGTAGGACCATCCCGTTGACTCGGGTCAAAGCATGGCGGACGCTACGGCTTCAGCGGCATCGGCGACGGCAGTGTTGATTCGCCGGCCGGCACAAAAATCGTGACTCGAGGCTGACTTCTTGCCGCATTCGTCGCTTCGGGGTGTGTCGTGCCGTGGTCGTCGTCACCGTCGTGGCGGACGACGCCATCACTGGCCGCGCTCGCGGGTTGCCCCATGCTTCCATGTTGCGATGTCTGTGGTGCAGGCTGTATCGGGGTGCCAGGTGCCTGAGATTGTGCTTGCTGTGCTCGTGCGACGTCATTTTGCAGGGACGTGCGTTCTGCCGTCAGCGCCGCGATTTCTTCAAAGCTTTCGCGAAGTTGCTGCAGCAGTTCGTTCAGACGCTCATGCGTGAGCGTGGTGACGTCGATGTGTTCGGCCATTACGAAGGGCGTCAGCTCGGCTTAGTCTAGGCGCAGTCGTGGCTGCACGCGTTTACGAGAGAACGCGAGGACAACGGCTCATAGGGGCTAAGGTGTGTGAGTCCCTTCGAGTGAAAAAACAAAAGTTTATTTCCTGGGGTGCGGAGATGCGCGGTCCGAAAAGAAGGAGGCTATGAATTCCAAGTGTTTCGGGTGCAATGAATCGAGGTAGTGAGGATTGCACTAAGGTGTCAAACGAGTACAAAATGTGAGCGAAGGCATGAGCGAACATTTATATGTGAAACATGCAAACGGTAACGCGGTGCGTGTGAGCTAGCCAGTGCTACGTTGGCAACGAGGCTCGGGCTAGTCCCGAAGCGTAGGCCGACACGGCCGGGCCAGCAGTGCGAGGTGTGGCGAAACAGTGCGCGCGAAGTCGGCGAAGCTCCGTTAGCAGTAACGGGCGAACAACGGCTGCTACTGTACGCGATGTTGCAGGGCGCGCTAAGGAATGTCGAGAAAATTACTTACACCAATCTACTCCAAGTGATCCTCAATCTCACAGTACAAAGATGCTTCTAGGAATCTCTGCATACTATGTCCTCCAATTTGACAGAGCCAAAGAAGATTTGTCAGCATGCTCAACAATTATCCATTATCCACATGCCTCAGTCCACAACCAGTCCTCTAGAGGACTAGTCATTTCATTGCCCTAAACTTGCCAGAGTTTGACATTTACCATACAGGTAGCTTGGATCTATAAGCAGCCTAGGCCTTGGGTGCAGTAACCACTCCATGTGACATCCCCCTTCCAGCCTTTGACTTGAGACCCAGTGCTTTAGCCTGAACACCTTTATCCTTGCTCCCAACCACACCATTGCACAACCCGTGACTGCCATTCTTGCTGTGCCCACTCTTCTCTGAGTGCTGCTGCTGCTGCGGCTGCTGTGACTGCTGCTGCGGCAGCTGCTGCGGCTGCTGGTGTTGCAAGAGCTGCTGCTGGCGCTGCTGCTGCTGCGCTGACACCGCCTGCTGCTGTGCGTTGCAGAGGTGGCGGCAGGAGAGGAAGAAGAGCAGCGAGTGGTACCCCACCAGCGCCATCACTGCATACCCCTCCCACCACCGCGACCACACCAGCAGCAGCAGCACCTGCGACGCCTGGAGAGGGTTTCGGGTAGAAGATTTAGGGTTTAGGGTGCACGTGTGGGATAATGGCATCAGCACGTGAGCAATAACGTTGGTGCGCGCCTATTTTTGAATCGACTCAAATAAGGATGGGGAGGACTGGGGCTGTCAAAAGCGGACAGGTGGGCTGTGGAGGCCTTACTTCCATCAACTCTTGCTGTTCTAGGACAACGAAATAAGGATGGGGAAGACTGGGTGGATGGAGGGGCAATGCAGGAGTGCAACAGAGGGGCATCAGCTGGTGGTGCATTAGTAAAGGACAGGACACAGCAATCATTGAACGACAGGCCGGATGAGGACAGAAGTGAAGCTATGTATGTATAGATGGGAAGGGTGGCATGTCAACTAAGCCTGGGTGCTCACTGAGACGCAGATCTGAGTGCCGACGACCCAGTTGGAGAAGACAAGCGGCTGGTGGTGCAGCAGCTGCAGGCGAGAAAGGCACACGGGGGGGAGATGAGAAACAGGGGGGGAAATGAGAGACGGGTGGGATGTACAAGTTGAAACACAGCTGCTTTGACACAACGCATTACCCCAGAGATGAAACTCTCGAGCATGAGCTCTAGAACTACAAGATCGAGCAGAAAGTGAATGAAGGCTTGGGGGAGTTACAAAGAGGAGGGCGGCGGAGAGCGAGCCGGGCTGGGCGGTGTTGAACCTGCCGAGCCCCACAAAGAGACGCCCCCCTCTCTGCACAATGGCTCCCTCGCTGTACGGCACACTGTGGGGGTTCCACTCCACCACGTCCCTGGTGTTGTGGAAAGGTGCAGAAAGACGAAAAGAGGGGAAGAGGAGCAGAGGTGGGAAGGGGAGAGGACACGAAGACTTGTGTGAGTGGCAGCCCCCGGGCCCCTCTCTGCACAATGGCTACCTCACTGTACGGCACACTGTGGGGATTCCACTCCGCCACGTCCCTGGTGGCGTGGAAAGGTGCGGAAAGACGAAAAGAGGGGAAGAGGAGCAGAGGTGGGAAGGGGAGAGGACACGAAGACTTGTGTGAGTGGCAGCCCCCGGGCCCCTCTCTGCACAATGGCTCCCTCACTGTACGGCACACTGTGGGGATTCCACTCCGCCACGACCCTGGTACAGTGGAAATTGGGGAGCCGGGGAGGTGCGGTGAAGGGGCGGTGGGACAAAAGGAGGAGGGGGGAGGAGAAGACGAGTGGAAAGGGGAGGGACGACACGAGAAATTGAGTGAGTGCAAACCCAGGACCTTTTGATGCAAAAAGGCACCCTCGCTGCGGAGGTTCCACTCAAATATACCACGCGTCAGGTGAGGGGTGGTGGATGCATCCATCCAGCATGTTCCACACACATAGTTGTATACATACACTTGTCCAGTGATGCTGCTGTTCTCAACCCCCTGGCACTGCAGTCCTCCTCGCACCTGCTGATGGTGAAATCTGGCACGTCCAAGCGGTGCCACATACTCCACCTGCTCCCTGCTCACATTCATGCTCCCCTTTGCCCTAAGGCCCTCGGGAAGAACAGCACCGAGGCACTCCTCTCACCCGCTCTCTCTCTCACACACACACGCACCTGCTGATGGTGAAGTTGGGCACGTCGACACGGTGCCAGCACCCCAGGTGCGCTGCCACATACTCCACCTGCTGCCGCCGCAGCACAGCCTCCTTCATCAGCAGCAGCATGGCCGCGCCCACAAACGCGTACCCCAGCAGCAGGCAGCACGAGAGGCGGCTCACTAGTATGTCCTCGTGCATCTGAAGTGGGTACGAGGCAAGGAAGGAGGGTTTGAGGGTTTGGTTCGATCAGCAGCAGCACCGCCTCCTTCATTAGCAGCAGCACCGCCTCCTTCATTAGCAGCAGTATGGCCGCCCCCACAAACGCGTACCCCAGCAGCAGACAGCACGACAGGCGGCTCACTAGGATATCCTCGTGCATCTGAAAAACAGGTTGGGGGGAGGGGGAAGGGGGTGCATTGGAGGTTTGAGTTGAGCAGCGCAGCACCGCCTCCTTCTTGAGCAACAGCACGGCCACCCCCACAAACGAGTACTCCAGCAGCAGGCAGCAAGCAGCATGAGAGGCGCTCATTCTGCACGCACGAGCAGAGGCAGCGACTCACACAAGTGCCGTTTGAGGGACTTGACAAAGCACCAGCCGCATCAGCAGCTTGGGATTGCACCGCATTCCACACACTTGGGTGTCCACACACGAGCAGAGACACAAATCGGCGCTTTTTTCAAGCGCATAAAGAAACCCCACTTGGGTATCCATGCACGAGCAGAGACAGAGACTTACGTAGGTGCCTTGAATGGCGACGACGCCCACCAGGTAGCTCCCCAAGCATGCCTCCACGAGCACCAGGCGCATCAGCAGCTTGGGCCAGCGCCGCGGCTTACACACACTTGGACGTGCACGCACGAGCAGAGACCCACATAAACATCCACTCACGGGTTTAAGGTTCATAGTCTGACTCACGTAGGTGCCTTGAATGGGGACGATCCCCACCAGATAGCTCCCCATACATGCCTCCACGAGCACCAGGCGCATCAGCAGCTTGGGCCAGCGCCGAAGCTTGCGAGTAAACCGCGTGAAGTCAGACGGCGACGCAGACGCACCAGCACCGCTGCCACCAACGCTGCCGCCGCTGCTGCTGCTGCTCCTCATGCTGCCGCCTCTGCTGCTGCTGCCGCTGCCGATGGTGGTGGTGCTGTTGCTGCTAGTGCTGGTGCTGACAATGCCAGTACTCGCATTGCTGCTGCTAGTGCTGGTGCTGATACTGGTATCGGTGCTGCTACCATTCATAGCACCTGTCGTGCTGCCGTCACTCCCTCCCGTCCCCCCTGCCGCCACCTCCCCAGGCGGCTCCCCACTAAGATTTTTTGTCTGTTGTGACGCCAGAGGAAAGCCCATTGGCTGGTTGCTGCAGGGGGAAACCGGATGCACACCGCTAGGCTGCTGGCAAGGCGCTGCTGATGCTGCATGAGGAGCAGCACCACCCAGTGGGTTTTGCTGGGGGACTGTGCAGTCGTGCAGGGATGGGGAGGTGTGAGGGACGGAGGAGGGAGGGGACGAGTGAGAGTGCGAGTTTAGGCTGGATGAATGGCTGGGGGGTTGAGAAAGTGAGGGAGGAAGGGACGAGGTGGGTTGGCTCAGAGGGAGCAGGAGTGGTTGCTGGAGGGATTGTGCCGAAAGCGAAGCTGTTACTGTGGAGGACGGAAGAACAGAGACGGGGGATGCTGTTGCTGCTGCTGCTGCACCTGCTGCTGATCCTGGTGCTGCTGGTGACGGTGTGGTGCTCTTATCGGATGTGACAGCAGCGGGGAGGAGAGTGGCGGGGCGCAGGGAGGGGAGCGAGGGAGGAGGGGCTGAGAGCGGGGCGTCGCGATGAAGAGACCTGATCTGGTGGTTGAGCAGCGCAACGATGATGGCGTAGCAGATGGGCCTGGTGAGGGCATGGGGGAATTGGGAGGGATTGGGAGGGATTGGAAGGAACGAGGATTGGTGCAGTGCAGATTGGACGGGGAGGGGGAGGGGCGTCGCGATGCAGGGACTTAATCTGGTGGTTGAGTAGCACGACGATGATGGCGTAGCAGATGGGCCTGGCGAGGGCACAGGGGGGATTGGAAGGCGATTGGGAGGGGATTTGAAGGAAATGATGGTTAAACCACATACAGATATAGAAATGTGGGACAATAGAATCGCTTCACGAAGTGTGGTGGAATGCAAGTGGCACACATGGGCGAGGGCACACAAGGGCAATGCGACATAAGGCAAGAGGAGACGCACGGGACGAAGAGCAGCAGCTGCGACTGCCAGGGAAGAGTGAGGGAGAGCTTGAGCGCGAGGAGAGCCACCGCCGCCACGTATAGCCCCACCTGTAACTCGCAGCACAGAAGGGAGAGGGCGATGGGAGAGCAGCAGGGAGGGGCGATAATGAAGGAGCAAGGAGGGGGCAATGAGGGGGGAACGAGAAGGCACGACGGGGGAGGAGCGGCGATCAGACCGGCGGATGCTCCCTGCTAGGAATGGAGCTGCAGAGAGGAGCGAAAAAAAAAAAAAAAAAAAAAAAAAAAAAAAACCAAGCGAGCAACGGAGCTTGGAACCAGCAACTGCGATTCACAACCTAAATTAATGAACGAGCAACCTCATGAAAGCCCTGAGTATACCAGAAGCAGGGAGCTGCAGGTGCCAGTGACGACGCTCATGGGAGGAAAGACATGCTGCTCCCACTGTCCATGCCCCGAGCCCCTTGACGGATCGGCAAGCCCTGGATTAAGCAGAGAGTTCCCCTTCACTGTTGAATCGTCTCCCAGCAACAGCTCCTTGCCTGCCTCTGGCGAGTCAAACCCGCCGCCCGAACCAGCAACATCCACCGCACCACCTGCCCCTCCTGCACCAATGGTGCTTCCAACGCTTTCACCAAAACTACCCGTGGAGTGGTGATTGCCAGCCTTGATTACCCCATCCCCTGCCACCATGCCGCTACCAGTCAACGAAAACGACTCCCTTGCAGCAGTGCCATCAGCACAAGCCGTTTCTTCATCCCCTCCCCGCCCGGCCTTGCCCTTCACCCTCCACGCCTTTGAACCGCTGGTGACTGCTTCTTTTGCACTTCTAACCGCACTAGAAGCTACAATATCACCTACTCTGTCCGCTGCGGAAGGCGTGGCGTTGCCAGCACCACTGAGAGAGGCAGGAGGTGGAATGGCGCTTCCGTTCCTCCTGCTACTCAGGAGGAAGAGTCGACTGAGGAAGCTACTGCTCGCACTGCTGCCATTGGCGGACCGAGAGGAGGCAGGTGCAGAGGCTTTATTCGCGGCAGGTGGGTGGAAGTCAATGAAACAGGCGACTATGCGGCGCAGGAGAAGCAGACAGACCAGAAGCACCTGCGATGGGAAGAAGGGCGTATGGGCGTGTGAGATAAATGCATGAGAACTTGACTTCGGAAGGGATTGGACGGATCTGCACACGTGCAGCACAGGCAACTAATGACTTACCTACTACGCGCTGCTTAACGCGGACAGCTCACACTCACGCAGGGCCTGGCAACTGCCTTATAATGGACTGTTATAACGCGGAGGCACTCACGACGTGGTAGTTGATATCGTGCAGTGCGGAGCGGTGGAGTCAGGGCAACTGGATGGCGACATGTGCACGAAGAACATCGTCTCCACCCGCACCTCCCGACACGGGACTAAACGGTTCAAGGCACTCAAGACGCTGCAATGAACGGTTCAAAGGCACTCCTAATGCGGTAGTCAACGGTTCAAGCCACTCACAACGTGGTAGTTGATGTCATGGAGTGCAGAGCGGTGGAGGCAGAGCAGCTGGATGGCGAGGAAGACGCACATGTGCACGAAGAACATCGCCTCCACCCGCACCTCCCGCACACCCCCCGTCCCCATCTCCCCCCCCTTTCTGCATCCGCTGCTTCCGCTGCCGCCACCGCTGCTACTGCTGCTGTTGCTGCTACCGCTGCTGCTGTTGTTGCTTACTCCCCTGCTGCTGCTGCTGCTTCGGGCGCTGCTGCTGGTCGACAACCCGCCGTCCTCCCCGCCGCTGCTCTTACCAGTCGTGCTGCCTCGCCCTGTGAGCCGCAACTGCCCGGAGTCCGAATCCCCCTTCTCGCCTACCGCCTTCCTACTCGCCGCACTGACAGTCAGGCTGGAATCCCCTCTCTTGACCCCGTTAGAGACAGTCCCGATAAAGGCAGAGGCCTCGCCCTGCTGCTGCGGCTGCTGCTGGTGGGTCCGAGCTGGTCCGGCAGAATTAGGGTTGCTGGCGTAAGCGGAGGCGTGATGGCCAGCATTGCTCTCGAGCCTATTCTTGGTCGGCTTGCGCCCTCCGCTTCCGCCTCTGGGGGGCGGAGAGGCGTCCCGGGGGAAGGCCGGGGGAATGGTTGCGCGGGTGGGCGACGAGGGTCCATTCGCGAGCGATCGGTGGGCGTGGCGCCTGTTGGAGCTCATGGCTGGAGCAGGGGTTTCACGCGAACAGTAGGGTTTGAAAGAAGCAGAGAAGAGTGTGACTTTTGAGTTGACTCAAAGGCGCCTCTAGGAGCTCATGGCTAGAGCATGGGTTTCACGCGAACAATCGGGTATGAAACCAGAAGAAGAGAAGGTGACTTTCGAATCGACTCAAAAGGCACCTGATAAATCATGACTGGAACAGGGATTTCACGCAAACCTTGGGATTTGAGACGAGCAGGGGGAAGGATAGCCAAGAGTGGGATTCAGGAAGAGCAGGAGGAAGGATAGTGATTAGAAAACAAAGGACAAGATGTCTAAAAGGAAAAGGTACATCGTTTAGAGTGACCGTCGATTTCAAATCAGCAGTGTAGGTGAGACAGTTACAGGAGAAAATAAAACGAACAATGAAAACGCGCGCAGGTACCAGAGACGATAATGTACGGAGTTATAGCGACGGAGAGAAGACGAGAAACTAGGGTTTGATTCGCATCGAGAAATATGGCGGCAAACTGAGCAGTAATCACAACGGTGCAAGGACCTAGTAGTCAAAATGACTTCGAAGTTACAAACGGTTGAAAATAAGGAGACAACATGGACTTACCCGCGAAGGGATCCGACAACGCAGCGAAGCACCATGGATCGTGAAGTTACAATTCACTATTGACCCGGCTACAGTAGCTTCACCATGAATGATCAGAACCGACGCTGATCCTTTCCTCGTGTGACTAGGATACCTTGGTTCACACGCAACTGACACGGAAAATTCCTAGGAACGTAGAAGCTGTATTCTAGCTGTGGATTTGCGATGGGTCCTAACTATTTTGGTCTATATGACGATCTCAAGGCAAATGTCATGCGACCCTGAGCTCGCCTTGAGAATCTCCTCAACAAATCAGGTTTGGCACATTCTCTGACGGTGTTGGTCACTCTGACAGGTTCGGTATCTGATGGGCCGTTGGTTCGGTTTGGACCTTTGAACGGCTTGATGAATCTTGTCCAATGAGGTGAGTGCATCTCCACTGTACGCATGCCGCGATGTCAACCAGCTAGCGATGCGCAAACTCCAGTTTAGACTAAACCGTATATGCGAAATTGCATTACCCGCAACCTAGCGCAAGTTGAATATAACGTATAATATGACAAACACAAGTGGGTGGGGCTGGAAGTGCAAGAGCACATGTGCAGGTTTTGGGAGCGCGAAGGTGGGGATTGTTGAGTTACTAAGTAAGAGTAAGCTTAGGTTTTAGGTAGGGCCTAGGCTTAGTAGCCTAGGCCTAGGGGAAGTCGAGGAGGTTGTGCCAAGGTGAGAGTCGAGAATGGGAAAAGTGATGTTCACTATAGCACTAGGGTACATATAGTAAACAGAGCATGCAAAGAAGGTGCACCACCAACATTTTATAATAACTACACTAAACTACAGCTACAGGCAGTTACATATAAATTCTAACACTCCCCCATAACTGCCTGCAGCAGGAGTTTGTGCAGAACACAACCTGCAGGGGTATACCAGCAACAGCAACAGCAGGTACGGTAACAGAGCAGGTACAGCAGCAAAGGGACAGGCGACAGCAAGAAATTCCTGCCACCCCCTTACTCTCTTCCCCCCCCAACCACAGGAGGGGCAGCAGGGAGAGTGAGGAGGCGGGCTGGCTCTGGCTGGTCACCCCCTCCATTTCCTCACCCTCCCCCTCCCCCTCCCCCCCACACTGCTGCAGGAGCAGCAGACGGGGGAAGAGAGGAGAGGTGGAGGGACGGCTGCTGGTTGGTCTCACACCCGCCACCCCAGTGCCACTCCCCCGGCTCCCCCACACCCTCACACCCTCCCCCCCAGCGGCAGCTGCAGCAGTGGGAATGAAAGGAGGAGGAGGGGAAGGGAAGCACACCACCCATCACCCCAACACCCGCCACCCCCATACCCTCCCCCCCACGGCTGCAGGGAGACGAAGGAGGAGGGGGTGGGCGGGGAGAAAGCCGCAGAGCGGCTACAGAGGGTCGGCGCGGGTAGGTCAGGGGCGGCTGCAGTGAGTGCAGGCGCGGGGTGAGGCAGAGGCGGCTGCACCGAGTGCAGGAGCGGGGGCGGCTGCTCCAAGGGCAGGCGCCGGGTGGTGCAGGGGCGGCTGCAGCGAGTGCAGGCGCGGGTGAGGCAGGGGCACCGCCGAGTGCGCCAGGGGCGGGTACGCGGCGGCTCAGGACACCGTCGCAGGCGCCAGGGGCGGTTCCGCGGCGGCTCAGGGCACCGTCGCGCACCACGGGGCACGTGACGGGCAGTTTAGGGCACCGTCGCATGCCACGGGGCGCACGACGGGCAGGGCACCGTCGCGTGCCACGGGGCGCATGACGGGCAGGGCACCGTCGCGTGCCACGGGGCGCACGACGGGCAGGTTTAGGGCACCGTCGTGTGCCACGGGGCGCACGACGGGCAGGGCACCGTCGCGTGCCACGGGGCGCACGAGGGGCAGGGCACCGTCGCGTGCCACGGGGCGCGCGACGGGCAGAAAAGATGTCACTCGCCACCCGGGGGCGGGACAGGACGAAAATCGCCACGCGCCCGAGGCGCGCGACCGGAAAAACAGCAGCGGAAGCGTGAGGCGGGCCCACAGGCCAGGACGTAACTCGCTCTAATGCCATGTTGAGTTACTAAGTAAGAGTAAGCTTAGGTTTTAGGTAGGGCCTAGGCTTAGTAGCCTAGGCCTAGGGGAAGTCGAGGAGGTTGTGCCAAGGTGAGAGTCGAGAATGGGAAAAGTGATGTTCACTATAGCACTAGGGTACATATAGTAAACAGAGCATGCAAAGAAGGTGCACCACCAACAGTTTATAATAACTACACTAAACTACAGCTACAGGCAGTTACATATAAATTCAAACAAGGATGTGGTGCGGGCATTGCCATTGGGGATGCAGCGGGTGGAAGAGGGTCTCACTGTGGTGGGCGTGCCTATTGGGGAGGAGGAATGGAAGGTGGTCCGGTTACGGAAGCGGCTTCGAGAGTTGCAGGTGCCATTGCCATGGCTCCCCCTGCTCGACCACCCCCATATGGCTCCATTGCAGTTTCAGCACGGCCGATGTACCTGGCCCAGACCATGCCGCCGCGTCCGGAGGTGATGGAGGCCTTTAGAGATTGGGATAGCTGTTTGGAGGATTGCTTTGAGCAGCTTTTCCCACCTGGCACTTGGGAGCAGGACCCCGACCGGTCTAGGCGCGCAAACATGCAGCTGCATCTCCCTGTGCGACTCGGAGGGTTTGGGATCCGGGCGGCGGCCTCTTTGAGTCCACTCTCCCGTGTTTGTGGGTGGGCGCAGGTCGCACGGGATATTGCACAGTTGGGGGTGGCGGGCGAGGAGGCGATGTTTGCAGAGTACCTCACCACTTCAGCAGGTATTGGAATAACCGAAAGGTTATAGTAACATTCCTGAAGGCTCTCCACTCGCGCGTCACTCCATAATGAAGCAACGCGCTTGTACCAGTACCGCGATAGCTCTTACAGAGCATGCGGAAGTTCGAGGGTCACCCGAAGGTCAACAGTCGAAGACAGTCAACGGTCGTGACCCTTGACTGCCCAGTAACCGCACTTGGTAGTTACGTGCTGCAACATGGTAACTGTCAAGAATAGCAATAGTCGTGGTTACTGTAGCAATGCAATTCAGTTAATAAGGGAATGTACCCCTCATAGTACATCGCCAGCTAGTTTGCTATTTATATTATTGTACTTCTACCTTATAATCATCTTGTTCTCTTTTCAATCTTATTAACAAGGTCACTACAGAGACTTCACAGTTCTCTCATATACTTAGCAGCTTTATCCTATCCACTGCGATCCTTGAGTTATAACATCATGGTATGAGAGCTAGAGTGGATTATAAGGCCTGCTAAGTTTTGTTCTTGCTAGAACAACCTCTTTATATATTATTCATTACATCGCTACAAAACTCAGCACTATTATGGCTCCAGAAGGAAAAGCCACTGCAGATTCTCCTGGCCCACCACCAGCAACACCCACTGCACCATCAGCGGTGACCTCCATCAGCGCCGCTCTCGTAGAGCAGCTGGTCGCCCGCATCAATGCTCTTGAGAGCCATCAAGCGATGAGCATCGATGGCTCAAGTTATGCACGTTGAGTTGTTGGACTTCCTCTCCCTGGAGAAGACCGCCGCGTCAACTCCGAGAGATCCTTCACGTTTGACAACCGTCAAGCTTCAGCTCCTCTGCAAGACAGTCAACAACGCGCACACTCAGACACGATTGCAACAATGCAGACAAAATTCGTTCCGACTTCGAAGCTGAAAACATCGGTTCCTTTCGACGGAAAGGACTTCTACACTTGGAGCTTCGAGTTTGAGCTCCTCGCGACAACTGCGCAAATCTGGATGTACTATGACGGAAGCTTACCGTTTCCAACGGAA